AAATAAAAAATAGAAAACAGTGTAGATAGGAGCAGCTTAGTATCAGGCAGTTTGAAGGCTCAACAGGGCACGCTCCATCTCGCCCAGCAATAAGGGGACTATTTGTATAACAGCAAAAAGTTGCTTTTGTGATGTGTACTGGAACGTTGTCTAATAAAAAGCATCTCTTCCATTGCATTTCAGGGGGTTGTATGATATCATTGTAGCAAAAGACAACCAGTCGAGCTGTGTGGGCCGCTACGATAATCACGGCAGTTTTGGGGAACTGGCATTGATGTACAACACTCCTCGAGCTGCCACCATCATTGCCACAACAGAAGGAGCTCTTTGGGGACTGGTAAGGAAAAGAAGTTTCTCTCCTCTGCGTAATTTTTTAACACTAACTCACCGTGTCCAGCGCTTCTCTTGCTATGACTCCTTTTCTAATGGCTGTTCTATCATAATCTGTTCTCTCGCCTCCTGGCATGAGAGCTCCACTGTGCAAATCTTTTTGGCCACCTGTCTAGAACACCTCGTCTGTAAAGCTGTTATCGCCAGTTTTATCTGTTCCTTTATTATTTCGCATTTGCTGCAATCATGGCTTTTGTTAGGGGAAAAAACCCCTGGGTTTGTTTCCAGCCTGCAGAGAACAGTGGGTGTGTTAATGCATGGATTTTATGGGAGAGTGAAACAGCATCTAAGTGATGTTCTTTATTTCCAAGTCCCCTTCCTACCATTTTGTCTTGCTTTAAGGGGAATGGGAAGGTGTTAAATATCTTCTTGAGGATGTCAGTAATTTGAAGAGCTAGGAAAACTGCCCAAAGCTTTGTTCTCCTTCAAAATAAACTGTCGTGATGTTTCTGGTCCCTTTGTGTTACCCTGGAAGATATTCTCAGGTCAGCGTGACCTATGCGATACCGAGCTAAATTACGGTGTTTCTTTGTCTCTAACCCCGCAGCGCTGAACGTGAAGCTGTAGACATGAATTTCCTTTTTTAGGTCTTTTCTCTCCCCTATTTGGATAGGGTTATTATCACAGTGCTCTCTTACTCATCTGCGAGGGCTCACATAATAAGCGGATTGTGCGATCAACAGAGCCTTTGAAGCCAGAAGTGTTGTTGCTTTTTGTGTGCGCTGGGCTCCTCGGCAACTATCGCTGGGGCTTGACCATGCGTTGTGACCTTGATTGTAGGGCTGATTTGTAGCTACACAAGCTGTGCTTATGCAATGTCTGCACTTGCTGGGAGAACCAACTTCTGCCTTCCCTTTGTGAGCCAAAACCCAAGATTTTGGTAAAGCAACCAGAGAGTAAAGTCAGAATCTCATTTCTTGAACGAGATGGAACAAAGCAGCTACCTACAAACCGAGCTCATTCATAAAAGGAAGAGAATGAGAAGCTGGTTCTTTGTTCCAGTTTGCCTTTGAAAGGAACGGCACAGATTTGGTTTATTTTGGGTTTTCCTGTTAATTCACTTAATTAGCAAGGTGTATTTGAAGGGGCACCTCTTGCCAGTCATCCATCCTGTGGATGTTTAATAACTAAGGCTGCATTTTCCTGCCTAAAACTTTGGGTATTTCCTCCAGTTCTTCTTCATTGCCATGTTTTATTGTACTATTTTGTGCCTGATGGAATTTAAAGGTTATGTTTTTATTAGTCTGCAGAAGACATTGCTAAAGCTCACGTGGGTTTTCTGCTGTAGAAATGTGGATTATTCCTGCTGCATTGCAGACTTAGGCCAACAAAAGCCTGGAAGGCTCTGGCACAAAGCAGTTCTCAAATTTGAGTCTCTTCTGGGGCAGAGAAATGTCCTCAGCCTTTGCTATTAAACGTGGCAAGGTTAAACCTCATGATCACACACGCTTCCTTTGCTGCTCTGCCTGTTTTGATCAAACACTGCTGCTTTTTCTCACTGATGCTCTCAAACAAATCTGATTTTTTTTAATGCTTTTGCAATTCCCTTGACCGTTTCTGAACCTTTCTGCTTCTCCAGATGTGTACGTTTGAAGAGACTTTTTTACCACTGAAGAATTTCTTTCAAAAAATAAACCAATCTCTCATGCTTGATAATCTCTTGTTCTCCTTTGGATAACAGTAACACCATTCTTCCCTTCATCCTTCACCTGCTCCAACTTGTATATTCCACTGGTGTCACCTCAACCAGTTTTTGTTTCAAGTGATTGCAGCCTGCATCCCATAAAACTGTTCTCTTACTTGAAAATGCCTCTTCACCCCAAAATGTCTCTGCTAAGGTATCGCTTGATGTTTTCAGAAAACGAGAACCAGAGGAATGGCTCTCAGGGCTTTGGATGTTTCTGCTGATTGTGTTATTAATTGTGGCAAATTGAAGGATTTTTTGTTGGTACCATTTTCCTAACCAGAATTCTCCTCCTTTCCTCTACTTTCTGGGTTTGATTTTTCCACTTATGGCTTCACCCAGTGTAAGATAAACTCTGCAACTCTCACTCTGTAAATAATTTGGCACTGACCCTAACAGGGACCACAGGCATTAGGGTGATACCGACACTGATCCAAATACCCGGTGGGCAGCGCCTTGCCCCTCAGCCTGGACGTGCTGTTGAGTTTCAGCTCCCTGGTGCCTTTCTCATCGGTGTTTTCCAGTAGCTGAGCCCTGCCCTTTCTGTGTGGAAATCAAAAGCATTTCACCAAGCTCTCTGACGATGAACTCCCAAATAGGTCAGCCTTTGAGGTGGGAGCGGTGGCCAGGGCTGAGCTTGCCTTCGCTCAGGCTCGTAGTGCCGCCCAGTGGCCACGGAGCCTGCACATCACTGCCTGCAGAAAACACCAGAGCAGGAGGGTGGCAGAGAGTGGAGGGGAATCTTGCCCAGTGTTTGGGCTTCAAAACCAAACCAAAGCATTTTCCCATCACTTAGCTGTTAGTGGTACGTGTGGACAGCCCGCAGTTAGGAAGCGGTCATGGCATAAAGCTGCCTCTTGAATCCTGGTGGAGGAGTGAGTCAAGCCTGTGGCTGTTTGATGCTCTGTTCCTGAGCTATTTGAGACCAGTATAAATCTCCAGCTCACTTTTTTGAAATCTGTGACTCCAGTAGAGAAGAATCCACTTCAGACTTAATTGTGCAGTTGCCTTAACAAATAAGTGTTGGAAATTCCAGTTTCCAAAGGCCTTGACAAGAAGAGCATCACTTCTTCATTGTATGTGGAAGCATGAGAGAGATATTACGAACAGCCAAGCAAAATGCAAAAACCCTGAAAAACAGTACAAGATAGACTGAAACCTGAATTCTCAAGTGCTTATCTGAGGGAGTCTTACAGCTCCCTGGTTTTCAGTTTGTTATTGCAGCTGGTACTCTCCCAGGAGCTGTTCCAATCACCATTGTGATGGATGTGGTACCGCTTCAACAGCTGCCTTCCCAAACCCAGTGTTTGGTGCAAACATTAATAGTTCACGTTTGTCAGTTCTTTAAACAGGGAGCGTTTTAGTGAAGAGCAATAATGTACTTCTCTGTGCTGTTTCTTGCAGGATCGAGTGACGTTCAGAAGAATTATATTGAAAAACAACGCAAAGAAGAGGAAGACGTATGAATTATTTATTGAGTCTGTGCCCCTTCTTAAATCTTTGGAGGTAAAGCCTCTCGGAGACTTCTGCATCAAATTCTTACATTAGCATGAGCTCTGCAGTCAGGGTTGCTGCTGTATCAGAAATCGGTGTCATTTTTGTTTAGAGCAATATTTTAAGGGCTGCTTTGGTATCACACTCACTTGTACAACTTAGTTTACATGGTTGGAGTTGTACACTGGTTTTTTCATGTCCTTTGTTCACAGTGAGTTGCTGATTTTTATCTTGGTCTGTTTAAAGATTTGGAAAAATCAGAAAGCATCACAAAACAAAGAACACCTATAAATATGTCAGAGAAGAGGTATTAAAGTGGAAATTGGAACTCAGGGCTGTGGTTTGCTTTGAGGGTGTGGTATTGAAGTAGTGATACAACCACTGGGATATTTGGCCTTTATCAGCCATGAGTGATTTTAAATTTGAGACAAAGATCCGGGCCATAGTAGGTCTTGCCTTACCCTTAACTGATATTCAGAAATAACATGATTTTGGACGTATGTTGATAGCTGTGGAAGGTGTGAATTGCACATCACCTTTTCCCTGAGTTTCTGCCTTAAACTGGTTCCATCAATGTGACATTTTTTGAATGCAAAAATGACTCATAAATATTTAAAGACATAGAAAAATAACTTGTTAGCACTGGATGGCTTTTGCGTGACACACTGCAGTTGAATCATGCGCGGATCAGAATTTTCTCCAACATGGGCTAGATTGAGGTGCGTGAATGGATTACAACTGAATCATCTGAGGTTAATTTTAACTGTAGGATTTTCTCTCCTCCTTTGTGTTTTTTACACTGCTCTGAACCAACAAAATGGGTTTGTGGTGGTCTAGGTGGGCAGTGGGAAACATTGGAGAGAAATGTGAGCATTTTCTTCAAATTTCAATGGAATCTTAGAACAAGTGGTTTGGGTTTTTTTTTTAATTTGCTCTAAACTGGCCAAAGCAGTTATTTGATAACTTTGGCACATGGATGTGACACTATAGGCAATTGTCTTTCCTTATTGGTTATGGTAGTTTTGAAAGCTGTGGTGCAGTATGACAGTGTCACTGGAGGAGCTGTATTTTTCAGTACTCAGATACTGTGTGTGTGTGTTTACTGAAAGCCTCTTCATTTCAGGGCTACGAAGCCTACAAGAGATGTATTATAACAGATGATTGTTTAATTTTCCTCTCTGTTCAGGCATCGGAGCGAATGAAGATAGTGGATGTTATTGGGGAGAAGGTGTATCAAGATGGGGAACGTATCATTTCTCAGGTACTTGAAGTCTAAATTTCCCTTTATTATTCTCCTTTCTCTGCTGCTTTTTGGACCAACTTGGCATCACTTACTCTTTTAATACTTCCTGTTTATTTAACCACTTCTTGACTGTTTGGGGAGCAGCTACAAATTTACTCTATTACTTTAGCATCTGGGTTTTTCTTCTCTCATCTGTTTGTTTTGTAGAAATGGTCTTTGCAAGGTTTCCAGAGGAGTATGCCTTAAGAAGCTGGAATTAAATGTCGTCTATGTAATTGTCCATTGCAGCTCCCAGATAGACTTTACATAGGCACCTGTGACCAGATTAAACCAGGAGTCACAAGCTTGTCAGAAAGGCATCTCTAATTCCTAGGTCTGACTAAACAACAGAAGTCAAGAGAAGTGTGATTTGGATAAAACTTTGGGAATTTGTAAATATTTGGGAATATTTTACTAGCTGGACCCAACTGAGTTAATTGCTCCAGGAAGCTATCAGGGTTAATTAAAAGCACTGTTTCTCCTGATGCTCTTAAAGAATATTCCAATGGTGATGTAGTCTAGATTCAATCGACAGCCATTGGTTGTTGGGCTGTTTTCTCTCCTGTCATATGTCAAGGCCAGAGGAGTGGAACGTGGAGCTGAACAAACTCAAGCTAAAGCTGTGTGATATTTTTGCCAAATAACTTTTTGGAACACTTCTCAAGTTTAGCTTGGGGTTGCTTTGTTTGTTGCAGAAGTGCTCCAGTTCATGTAGAAGTTAATGCAAGAAAGTCCTTGGATTACCTGAAACTGCAGGCTTTTGATCACAACTGTCATCTTGCTTTATAAACAGAATGTGACTCCTTGATAATGTCTTAGATAATTAATCTTAATTACCTTGAATGCCAGATAACTCTGAATGTGGGAACCTTAGTTTGCTGATAACCAAATACCGCCAAATGACTTTTCTCCAAAAATACCTTCAGTTCTGTAAGTTGAAAATCTTGTTGCTTAAGATCCTGAGAAAACTGAACTCTTGGCAAAATCAAAGCTTATAAATCAGTTTCAAAACTGGGAACCCACGCAATCAGTGATCCAATTACGCAGTTGGTTTTAATCTTTTGTAATAACTGAATTAAGGACAAGGATGTAATTACCCTTAAAAGGAGGATTAATAGTCTGGATAGGTCTGAGTGATGGTAATACACTACTAAAGATGATGAAGTCTTATGCTTGAAAAAGATGTGATAGCTCTTACATTGCAGCACTTGCATCAATACCGTGAAGCCTTTTTCTCTCATGGATAATTTTAGGTTTTAATTATCTTTCTGGAATTTGACCCTTCTGTTAAGGGCAGTTTGCTTTAAAGCCCTTGAAAATTGTTAGTGCCTGCTGGTGTCACGAGGATGTCTCCTACTCAGTTTATTTGCATTCTTTTAAAAAAACTAAGTACTCTTTCAGTACATACTCTTTTAGAAGTGTGCTGAGTTCATCAGCTCATGTTGTGATAGCAGGCAGTAGTGAATGAAAAGCTTTGTGCTCAATGGTTTAAGATCATCCCCAGGAAGCTTAGTTAAGGGCCTAATTTCTTCTGTAACTCCATATTTAAATCTTACATCATCTTTTCCCAGCCCATGTTTCATACTCAAGTCATAATCATCTCCCTCTCCATCCTTCCCATCACATCCACAGTCTCCTTGCCCACTTGCCCTAGTGTCAGATTTCTCTCTCCTCACATTTGTTTCACAGTTTTTCTTGCTGAGCTGCTCCCATTCCCTTATCAGTTCCTCAGTCTCCACAAAGCCTTTAGTCCCTTTGCTTTTGCTTCTGCTTCATAGCAGGAGCCAAGCGCTGGCTTTCCGCTGACTTCCAGTCTCATACCGAGCCTTCAGGGGCTGTAAACTACGACCTCTTGAACGTCTGCAGCCTGATGTGGTTTGGATAGATATGAAAATGGTTTTAGAACTCTCACAAAATCACAGAATGGCTGAGGTTGGGAGGGGGCTCTTGGAGATCATCTTGTCCAACCGCCCTGCTCAAGCAGGGCCATCTGGAGCCAATTGCCCAGGACCATGTCCAAATGGTTTTTGAATATCTCAAAGGATGGAAACTTCGGAACCTCTCTGGGCAACCTGTGCCAGTGCTTGGTCACCCTTACAGTGACTTTTTCATAGAAACAGCTGAATGATTAATTCTTAAATGATTTTGCTATATATCACCAATCTCCTTTGCATTTTCCTTCCCACCTGCCCTCTCAGAGTCATGTGTACCAATAGTTCCTTTTTCCAGGGTTCCTGTACTATATTATTAGTTAGTATTACCTAACCAGTCACCTTTTAATGTTAAGAATTTGAGTGTTTGTCAATTTTAGCAGACTTCTGCACAAGGCCTAGTTCAGAGTGGATGCTTTAGTATCATGGGTACATACTTTTACAGTAAGCTAAAAAGTAATTGGTTTCACTTTTTCCTCTTCACAGGGTGATAAAGCAGATTGTTTTTACATTGTAGAATCTGGTGAAGTAAAAATCTTGATTAAAAGCAAGGTGAGTTCCAGGTGGATTATTACACTTCAGGTCAATTCCTGATTTGAGTGACTTATTTTAAGATACTGTTTTATGATATTTATCATTGTCACTCGTGTAGGTTGTAGATCCCCATACCTGCTCTGAAATGGCCAGAAGTCACTTTACTGAAGTTGGAAAAGCTTTTGCTTGTAACTGCTCCTCTGCAAACTAACCTGATCTGCTCTCGTTGGCCTTAAGGGTGGAGATGAGCCTTTTCTTGTAGGATTATAGAGAACCTGGGATCTGTTATCTCTAGTGACATGCTAGACACTGATCTTTGAACAGATCTCTGCACAGTCTGAAGCAGCCGTAGGGAACGACGTGTTGTGCATGATAAAACCTGCATTGGGGTATTGTAATAGCGTAACCCAAACCTGTAACAGTAAATGTCACCAGTCTCAAAACTGGTGGGCTGGCATACGCTTTTCTTATCAAACTTGTAACTGAACACGCTGTTAAGGTGTTCTGCCAGTACAGAGCATGACTTGGCACTTGCCCTTGGGCTTAAAAGCCCTAAACCAATGAGATGTTGCACATCTGTAAGGTGTCTGGGGATAACTGCAGCCTCCGACAAAGACAGAACTGTATGCAAATAATTGCAATGTACTGTTCAACAGACTATGACGAGTAAAGAAGCTAACCAAGAAGTGGAGATTGCCCGGTGTCAAAAAGGGCAGTATTTTGGAGAGCTTGCACTTGTTACCAACAAACCCAGAGCAGCCTCTGCCTATGCTGTTGGGGAGGTCAAATGTTTAGGTAAGCAGATGTTCTGTGTTCCTGGTTTCATTCTCTGTTCTTTGCTTGGTTTGTGGACCGTGCCCAAGTGAGCAGCCATTCGAAATGTAGCAGCCTTTTGATAACTGGTGGTCAGACACGGAGCATGGGCTCGAGCAGATCTCCATGCTGAAGTTTGTGAAGCACCACTGCTTCCTCCCAGCAGATTCTGGTTTTTAATCCCTGACCTGTACTCTTTGCAGGGGTAAGTAACATCAGCTTCTTGTTTGTCACACACAGCTTTCAGGTGTGGTGTGTATTTGGCTTCTGTATTTATCCTTGAGGTCAGGTGTGTATTTTATAAATCTTGTTTCTCCAAAGAAGTGTACAGAGGGAAATCAGAAATATGACTTCTGTTTCTGTGGCTGCTACTGAAGCCTCAAACCTGAGTGGGTTGGACTGGAGGTCTGTGTTCAGAGTTCCGAAAAACAGATTGATATGTGGTGTCCTTTTTGACAAACGATCTTGTTTTCACTTCTGTTCCTTTGCAGTCATGGATGTGCAAGCGTTTGAGAGGTTGCTTGGACCCTGCATGGACATTATGAAGAGGAATATTACACATTATGAGGAGCAGCTGGTGGCAATGTTTGGCTCTAGCATGGACCTGTTGGATCCAGGGAATTAGGCACAGGGTACCTCAATGCCTTCTTAGTTCAAGACACAGAAAAGCCTCCTATCAGCAACACAACTCACAAGGAAAACGGACACTACGGAACAGTTACTGCTGCTGTCTTCTTGGGCATTTTAGAAACCATAAACAAGTCTCAGCACAGATGGATTGCTCACACCCTGCCTCCACTTTGCTGCTGATACTTCATTATTAGACCTAGGTTAAAGATGATTCTAACCCTATGTTCACTTACTTGGTTCAGAATGGCATCTGTCCAACAGTTCAAGTGCCTGATACGAAACCCGAAGTGTGCAAGATGCAGAAGCCTCCTTCCTTCTGGTGTTACTGTTGGGATAAATTTGCAGATCAGATTCTGTAGTGGGAGGTAGCCTGTTCTGCAGAGGCAACCTGAGGAATTACGAGCCTTTTAGGGGCTTCTTACCTTCATCTGATGCTTTCCTTAGACAATGTCAAATTTGCTTGTACTTGTAGCATCTGGGTTTGAAGTTAAAATACCAGTGGAGCCAATTAATAAGGTGGCACTGAAGTTTTCTTCCACTCGCTGAAAGCAGTGGGTAACTATAGCTTTTCAAACCAAGTAAACCGAGCTGGGGACAGGGGAGAGTCTGCCTTGCAACAAAATGCAGAAAACAAAGCGTTAGTGTATTTTAAGTGTTTTCTGAGCAGCAAAGAAAAATGTTTTACTCTATGCTGCCCAAAAAAGTGCAGTGGTTCAGATCAGACGGCCTGAAGGTGTCATAATTGTCATCTCCCCAAATTTGCTCCTTGTTCCTGACACCGAGTACATTTGACTGTGGTGAGATCACAATATATGACCTTCTCTTGCTTACAGAGGTCCTTTATACTGCTCGATTTCCCAGGGCACTGCTGTCGACTGGGTCAGTTTTAAAGTTTTTTAAGGAGGTGAATGTTTTTGTAATTTAAATGAAGACTACTTCTGTACTTGTTTACAGGAGCTCCCCCCCCCAGTCCTAACATTTCACAGTATTCTAACTTCAGTAGACACTTGGATGCTTCCAAATACCACGTGGATTTGCTAAACTTTTCAAAAGTTGGCAGCATTTGACTTTGTCAAGCAAATGTCTTTGCTAACTAGGCAGTTGATGTGTTTGAGGAGTCTTTTTTGGTTTAGGTGATAACTGAGCTAATGATGTTTATCTAAAATACCTGTTAAATTTGCAGCACTTAACTAGGTAGATTCTGTTTCTATAGCTTTAATGACTTTAATTGGCATACTGCTGAGATTTTATCAGGCTATTGTCTCAATAAGAATCAGCCCATAAGAAGGACATTTTTATGGTGTACAAACAGAATATTTATATTAAGACATTGAATTTGTAGGTAATAAATCTAGTGACCCTTTGAATTTGCATTCTTCTGTAGCTCATGCAAAAGTTACTGGTGTTTTATGGGATTATAAAATTTTAATTGTGGATGCTAGTATTTTTATTCATGGCCACGTGAGCAAGAATAGAAGGATGCTAATGTGGAATTCCTGCTTCTAGTTATCACAGCGGACATTTCTCTAAGGCACGAGATGCTTAGCTGAAACTCTTCCGTTGATTTCTGGATAATTTTTTTTTCCCTAAATGGTTGAGCTCCTCCCAGTTCCTGCAATATGAGTAAGATGGAAACTTGATAAGTTTGAATGGCTGTTGTCCAGCTACTGTAATTTGAGTCATATTTTTATATAATGCAAATGATTTGTAATGGACACCACTGAACTAGGTGTTTCCATGTTATTAAAGTCCTGGTTGTGATGTCTAGTGGCTGTTCTAACTGCATGTACTTTAGAACAGTGAATTTCCCTTGCTTTACTGGGCTGTTGGTTTTTTTTGTTGTGAATTACAGCCAAAGAAGCAGCAGGTCCTTCATTCATGCTTCCAAGGTTTAACACCAAAGACAAAAGAATTCTTTTTATTGCAGATTTTAAAAGCAAACAAAAAATCCCATGAAAAAAGAAAAAACAAATGGAAAAACCTCATCAGGTCCTCGCACTGATAACAGGTAACACGTTAAGATACTTTGGGCTCCAAGACAAAAGTCTTTCTGAAGCCAGCTCTTGACTGTCCTGTGAACCAGACATAAACTGGTCTCCCAAACAGTTTAACTGGTCTCCAAAACAGTTTGAGTTTCTGTGCTCCCTACACTCTCTGTGAACTGTGAACTAGAGAGAAACTTGCTGTGAATAATCATCAGCTGGCCCTTGTTGCTCCCAGGCAGAATATCCTCTCCTTTCTGCAGAGGAGCCTGGCGGGTTGGGCTGCCTTACAGATGGATTCTGGTTCTCACAGCTTTCGGTTCTCTGCAGGACAGGACTGGGTACCTCAGTGTATGCAAACGTCGGCAGTTGTTCCAAAGCTTAACCAAAAAACAAGGCAAGGCTGATGTTAGATTCTTGGGGTAATTCTGCCTGATAGGGAGGATTTGATTTCTTCTCAAAGTCAAAGGAAAGGATGAGGACATAAAAGATTGGCATCGCATGTGAGCAAGAAGCATTTGAAATTTTACCTTTCTCTGGACTCCCTGACACAAGGGTGTACCAGGCACTGCCATCCTGCATCCAGGATCTGTGGGACACCACTCTGTGCTGTAGGGGCAACCATGAGCTGAAAGGGAAAGCCTGTAAGAAGGCTCATCCATTTAAAAGCTGAAATTTGTAGTGTGCCTGATTAGTTTGGTCTGGTTTAACCAACCTGTTCTGTACAATTTTGGAGCATGAAGACAGTGAGAGCAGCTTGTAGTAAGATACTCAATCTTGTCAGGTATCTGGTTAGAGCACCAGCAGTGAGCAAAGTCAGAAAGCGTGTGAGTGGCGATGCCAAGACCAGAGAGTGAAGTGAGGCGCCTGCTGGTAAAGATGTGCCCACATGGCTGTATCTCAGTGCATTCCTTTTCACTGTGACCGTTCATCGCAGTCGTCGAGAACAAGCCCAGGTTTTTGTTGTTACTGATCGGTGTTCAGTAAATCTGCTGTGGAGTCTCTGGAATGGGCAGTAGAGAGATCTGGATTTTAATACAAGAACTCAGCAGCAAAGTGGGCAAAGAGAGGTGTCTTTGAGACTTAGAGGGGGAAAAACGTTTCTTGTTTGTGATTCCCTGCTTGTGATTGTTGTGAAGTTGGTGAGAGGAGCTTTCAGTGGTCAAATGTCCTGGCATATGGTATTTCTGTTTAATGTCACAGCACAGGTTTCACAATGTAAAAGAACAAAAAAGGGCAGAAGTGCTCTCTTTTTAGAAACAAAAGTGCAAAACGTAAAACTTTAAAAACAAAGTGCAGTGTTGCACAGAGGGCAAAAAATGAAACTCCTTTGAATGTCACTTCCATTCTTACTTTTCCGCCAGCTGAAAGCGGACTCTTGTTCTTGACGTGTATTTGTAAACCAGTCTTGCCAAAATACAAACACCGTGGGTTTCTTTTCCACTCCAGATAATTTCTGTTGTTGCGGTTATTGCTGATTATTTTCACTTTTCTCAAACCGTAGATTTTCTTTCAAGAGGCCTTCCTTGTGGATTTCCTCCTGACGGGCTGCAGCACTACTCTGCTCTTTCAAGATGCAAGAGAAAGTCACTAACCTCACAGGAGAACACTCAACTCCGCTTAGCTGGCTGGAGCTAATAATGCGCTACTAATTTTCCTCTGCTCTGTGGGGCAGGAGGGGAATTAAATTCTGCATAAAGTTGCTACCTCAAGGCTCCAAGTGCTTTTAAAGGTCTTTCACTTGGGAGAGTTTCCTAAGACAGTTCTTAAAGATTGGTCTGTTCTTTTGAGTTAAATGTTTTTTTTTAATTGATTCATTGAGGGACCCTTATTTTAATTAATTTTACATTTATACTTGATTCTCAAAGGATGAACAGCTGCAAAGTTTGGTTCTTGCACTATCGTGTTGAACGGGAAAGAAAAATATCTGCCATATAAACATATGGTTTTAACAAGTTCAACCACTCTGGGGTTCAGCTTCACTTTTTGGTTAATAAAAACCTGACATGTTGTGTCCAGCCTTCCTGTCCGATCCTGTGTGTGCTCTTTTCTTGACTGCCTGCAGCTGACACAACCCCCAGTGCTTTCGTCAGGAGTGGACTTGACAGCAGCTGAGACGTACTCGAGTGCCTGAGTTCCTGTGCTTGTGTTATCAGAGCCTTACGGAGAGCAGCACTTGCCCTATTGCAATAACCAAAAGAGATTTATACGTTACCTGACCACCAAGTTTTGCTGTTTGGTGATAGAAACTTTTACTAATATCTTAAAAATAATACCACTTCCTGTAGATACTATTGCTCCCAATAAAACTGGCTGCTCTGGTATGTCTGCCAAATTATCGTAGAACTGATTTCTTGTTTGAGCACTGTGCTAACTGGTTCTCGGTTCCTAAGAGAAACACAATATTCCTGCAAGTCTCTTGCTGACCTACGCTTACAGCTACTGAATTTTGTGTGATAAGCTGCCTTTTTTTAACCTAACTAACAATTTGAAAACAAAATTACTTCGTTACATATGAAATTGCTGCTTCAAATATTTGGTGTTTGGTTCTGCTGAAGTTTTTTTTCTAAACGCTTAGTATTTTATGTACAGTTTCTAGAGTAGTTCTGCTAATCTTGAGGAGGCCTCTGCTGGAATAGGTCAGCTTTGGCACTTCAACTTGAGGAAGATGTTGACACCTGAAGGCAGCAGCGTGATAAACATCTATAAAATGTTCTGGTTTATAGAAAGATGAGGAGAAACTGAAGGAAAGGGGACAGGGAATACTCAAACAAAGAGGAATTAGCCCATATTATTAGGACAGGCCTATTACTATGGGGCATAAGGTACAGCAGGGAAGCTGTTGATTGAGCACTGGAAAGATGTGTCTGGAAGACAGCTGGAGAGACTGCTTGGGGGAGCAGGACATTTCCAGCACTATTTTATTTTTTTAACAGTTGTAAACTAGCTCTGAGAATGCTAACACTATCTGTCTGAGGCAGGGGTGGATTAGGTAACCTCTCGGGGAGGGTTTTCCGAGATACGCTGCTGTTTTCTTATTAATATCTTTAAAATCACCAAGGGCTTTAGCTGACACAAATACGCTGTCTCCAGGCTTTGTGCTCCATCAGCAGGAGGAAGATAAAAGCAGATCAGTGCCTGTAAAAGAGAGGGAGAGGTGCCCTTTATAGCCAGGCAGTGTATGAGGGCAAGCTCCAAAGCTTGCCAAGCACCTGGGGCAGAAGAGGCCGGGCTCCCCAGGGGCTGGAGAGAAAACCCCAAATCAGATGGAGAGCACATCTTGAACTCTTTCTTCTTGTTTTTCCTCTTTATCTTTGTTCTTTTGTACAGACTGAGCGACTTGATGGCAAAGGCAAATGGTGGTGTGTGAGCTGGGCCCTAACTCAAGGGTGTTAGATGGGTGTTAGGCTGCTGCAGTGTTGCGCTGCTGGGGGAAATACTAATTTCTAGATAAACTTTTTTTCATTTTTTTCAAATTTTTTAAGATACTTCTGTCCTTTCTGC